GTGGGTCGTGGAAGCCAGGTACGTACTGTTACATTCATAAGTAAATTTTGACCATTGTGAAATGTCACAGTTCTGAAGTCATAGAGACTGGCTGTCTCCTTTTTTGCAAACTGAAGTGTTTCAGCTATGAATTATTGGCCTACAGTGCTGTTAAACCTGTGTTTTTTGAGCCTACTTATTGTTCAGAGGAAAAAACCTTCTATATCAGATTGGTTTTAAAAAAAAAAAAAACAGCAGTAATATTTCTGTGGAAATGGCTACTGAGGATTCAGCAACCTCTGGCATCACTTCACAGCAAGGAAACCTAAATGGGGGAATGGACAGCATGAATTTCTCTATGTCTATTACCCCCTTTGATGGCCTGAACTATCTAGAATGGTCCAAAGGCATCAAACTTTATGTTACAGCTAGGGGGAAGGCTGGTTATATAAGTTGAAAAATAAAAGAACCAAAATCTAGTACTGCTAAACATGATCGATGGGATCAAGAAAACAGCATGGTTATGTCATGGCAGTTAGGCTCCATGTTACCTCATGTACAGAAAAATTTCATATGGGCTGACACAGCCTGTGAAATTTGGGAACAAGCCAAGGCAACCTATTCTGAACAGAGGCACTTTGCCAAGATTTATCAACTTAAAGCAGAATCATCTACGTGTAGACAAGGGAACTATAGCCTATCTACATACTACTCAGCCCTTACATCTGTCTGGAAGGAGCTAGACTATTATCAGACCATTGACTGGAGGAATGATGAAGATGCACAGGACTATAAAAAACTTGTCTCCCAACAGCGGGTTTTTGCTTTCTTGCATGGGCTGAATCCGGCTTATAAGCCTCTCCAGGTGCAAATTTTGCGAAGTAGGGAACTTCCTTCAGTTCAGGAAGTATATTCTCTAGTCCAATCTAAAGAGAGCAGAAAAATCTCATGAATGAAAAAGGGGGAGAAACCAGTTGCCCTAGCTGCAAGAGGGGGTAACACATGAATGAAAAAGGGGGAACCAAGGAAAGGTGAAGATAAAGACAAACTGTGGTGTACTCGCTGCCAGAAGCCTAGACACACTCGAGAAACCTGTTGGGAGTTAGTGGGTAAGCCCAAGTGGACAACCAAAAATCAAGACACTTCAAAGAAGCCTCCTCAAAAGAAATTTAATTCTACAAATCTGGCCACACAAGACTAACAGCAAAACAATCAAACTACTGTGTTTCCTCAAGAGCATCCTAGTGGTTTTGATCCCAAGGAAGGCATCATCAACTCCTTCAGAGATCATTTGGAATTGTATGGTAGGACACTCGTGCAATTGGATAGGTCGGTTCCTACCCCTTCTACCTCATTCGCTTCTACATCAATTTAAGGTGCTTCTGCATTTCATGTGTGTACCTCTGCTCCCGAGTCACCTTGGGTCATTGACTCAGGGGCTTCAAACCATATGACCGGTAAGTCAAATCTCTTTCAGACCTACACTCTTCTCTCTGGAAGGGATAAAGTGAGACTTGCTGATGGGTCTCTATCCACCATTGTTGGTTAGGGATTTGTATCTCTTCCTGATGGCCTTGTCTTATCCCATACCCTTCATGTTCCTAAACTTCCTATTAATCTGTTATCTATAAGTAGTATTACTCAGTCTTTAAACTGTTGTGTAACATTTTTTCCTCATTCTTGTGTTTTCCAGGATTTAACCTCGGGGAGGACAATTGGTAAAGGACATATGGTTAATGGTCTCTACATCTTGGAGAATAAAGTTGGCCCTGCGGCATCAACCTCTGTGAGTCTTATGAGTTAGTCTGTGAGTCAATCTACAAACAGTCAACGGTGGTTATGGCATAACCGCCTTGGTCATTTGTCCTTTGAGTCTTTGAAAGTTATGTTTCCTGAATTGCTCAAGTCAGTGTCTCTTACTAGTTTGCAGTTTGCATTGTGAAACGTGTCAGTTGAGTAAGCATTGTAGAACAACTTTTTTATCAAATAATAAAATATCTACTTTGCCTTTCCATATTGTCTTTTCTGATGTTTGGGGCCCTATTAACATACCTACTAAGGGTGGGTACAAGTACTTTATCAGCTTTATTGATGACTATTCAAGATACACGTGGCTATATCCTATGCACTCGAGAGAAGAGGTACCCAAGATTGTGCAAGATTTCCATCACATAGCTTTCACTCAATTTCATGTTGAAGTCCAAATTTTCCAATCGGATAATGCAAAGGAGTATTTCCATCATGACTTAACCGAGATTTTCTCTTCACATGGATCTCTTCATAGAAGTTCATGTGCCAGGACACCACAACAGAATGGAATTGCTGAAAGGAAGAAGCGCCATCTCCTCGAAGTTGCTCGTAGTATGATGCTTCACATGCATGTTCCAAAACGATTTTGGGTTGAGGCTGTGATGGCTGCAGCTTATGTTATTAATCGTATGCCATCATGCCTTCTGCAATACAAGGCCCCACATCAACTTATTTTCCCTCAATCCCCTTTATTTTTCATTCCTCTATGTGTGTTTGGGTGTAAATGCTTTATTCATGATCTATCTCCTAACCGGGGTAAATTGGACCCCAAATCTATTCTGTGTGTTCTTGGGTTATCCCTCTTCCCAAAAGGGTTACAAATGCTTCAATCCAGTCACCTCTAAGTACTTTGTATTGATGGATGTGTCCTTTTTTGAGTCAAAACCCTTCTTTCAAGCCTCTCCTCAAGAGGAGAATAGTGTGAAGGAGGAGAGGCAAGCTCCATCTCCTCAAATCCCTCTTCCCCCTATTCCTGACTCCTCTCCATTCCGTGTCTTCTTGAGACGCCGCAAGGGACTGCTGAATTCAAAGGCTGTGGAGCAACTTAAGACTATACATCCAGCACCTTCTGACTCCTTGAAGGAAAATCCAGGTATCCTTGTTCTCATTGATATCACTGAACCTATTGCTATTGATAATCCTACTAATGATTTTAATGTCCCAATTGCTCATAGAAAAGGGGTTCAATCATGTACTACTAAGCATCCTATTGCTCGGTTCTTATCTTATGAAAACATTGCTCCCGCATTTCGTGCCTTTTTTACTGCCATTGATTCCGTCTCTATTCCCAAAAGTGTGGCAGAAGCCTTATCTATACCTGAATGGACAGAGGCAATGAAGGAAGAAATTAGTGCTCTTCACAAAAACATCACCTGGGAATTGGTGAATCTTCCTGAAGGCAAGGAGCCAATGGGATGCAAGTGGGTATTCACAGTAAAGCATAGAGTAGATGAGTCAGTTGAAAGGTATAGAGCCAGGTTAGTTGCAAAAGGGGGTATACTCAGGTGTATGGGGTTGACTATGTAGAAACTTTTGCCCTAATTGCTAAAATGAATACTATCCGGATTATACTATCATTAGCTGTTAACTTTGATTGGGAGCTCCACCAACTAGACATCAAAAATGCTTTCTTAAATGGGGATTTGGCAGAAGAAGTTTACATGATTCAGCCTCCTGGGTTTGTAGCACAAGAGTGTGAAGGGAAAGTTTGCAAACTAAAAAAATCTTTATATGGTTTGAAACAATCCCCAAGGGCATGGTTTAGTAGATTTCACTTGGCTCTACAACAAATTGGGCTCAAGCAGTGCCAATCTGACCATACTCTATTTGTCAAGAGAAACCAGAAGAATGTTGTGGTATTAATTGTCTACGTTGATGACATTGTGATTACGGGGAATTGGGAATCTGAGATTAAAAAGGTCAAAGAATTCCTTGCTATGTAGTTTAAGGTGAAAGATTTGGGTTCCTTGGTATTGAGGTTGCCCGCTCAAAAGGGGCATCTTCATTTCCCAAAGGAAGTATGTCCTAGATGTTTTGCAGGACACAGGAAAGTTAGGAGCAAAACCTGTAGACTCTCCTATTGAAGAAAACCATTGGCTCGGTAATTGTAATGGGGAACCAATGACAGATATCAGGAAATTTCAGAGGTTGGTAGGAAGACTCCTCTACCTATCAATGACTCGACCAGATATAGCTTATGTTGTTGGTGTCCTCAGTCAGTTTATGCATGGACCAACATCCTCCCATCTAGAGGCGCTAAGAGGGTACTCAGATATCTAAAAAAGTATCCAGGAACTGGGTTACTTTTCAAGAAACATGATCATATGAAAGTGGAAATCTACACAAATGCAGATTGGGCTAGAGTAGTTGATGATAGGAAATCAACTAGTGGATATTGTACCTTTGTTAGTGGAAACTTGGTCACTTAGAGAAGCAAAAAGCAAAGTCTAGTGGCCAGATCTAATGCTGAGGCCGAGTATAGGGCCATGGCACATGGAGTTGCTGAAGTACTATGGGTGAAGAATTTGATTGGAGAGTTAGGCCTCTCGGTTGATGCCCCAATGTCTCTCTACTGTGACAACAAGGAAGCCATTAATATTGCAGCCAATCTAATTCTTCATGATAGGACCAAGCACATTGAAGTCGACAAGCACTTCATAAGGGAGAAACTTGAAAAGGGGGAAGTTTGTACTCCTTACATCAGTTCCAAGGAACAACTAGCTGATGTCCTTACAAAGGGTCTTCACTATTTGCGACATAATGAACTGTGTGACAAGTTGGGCACGATTGACTTATATGCTCCAACTTTAGGGGGAGTGTTGTAATATGTATGTGGAGGCCTGCGGCCTACTAAGGGGCTTTTTGTCTTTTCTTATTGTATTTAGTTATGAGCTATCGCCCTAAGTATAAATATTAACTTAGGCGCCGCCAACTACAGTACCTTTGAATAGATTTCTCTCTTCTCTCTTCTCTCTTCTCTCTTCTCTCTTCTCTCTTCTAGATCTGCCGAACTACAATCATTAAATGCAGTTTTCTTGGAGAAGGTCCTCCTCCCACACGCATGCACACATGACATAACCATGAAATATAATAATAGTCTTTGACTAATAATTCCACTGTCCAACCTATACCAAGAAGTTCCCACCAAAGAAAGGAAAAAATAGAAAAAAGAAAAAAGTATTATGGAGCCAGATTTCAAGAATAAAAAGCACTTAAAAGTCAGCATTCCATTCAGAAGCAAAATGCGGCATAACTCCCAACAAAATAAGGCACCTAGTACAAAATGGTCATGAATACTTTGATAAACAGCTCCAAATTTAAGATGACTTGCATAGCCAAATAATTGGGGACATAAGCACACGGAAGTCATGAAATAAAAACATCTGAATAAAAGCTTAGAACAAAATCACCTCAAAGCCATATAGAACTCAAAACACAAAAACTTTTGGTGGAAACATGTGTACCCCATTGTCACCCAACTCTTAAGAAAGAATGACAGCCCAATTACCCAGACTTGGCTGAAGCTGACAAAATATGGAAAAGCTCCTTCTATCTCCAGTCCAGAATCATGAAAACAAGAATAAGGAATGCACAATCAGGGTTATTCTCTGAAACAACCAAGCATGTAGAATCAATCATCTCAAATCACCTTTCTGATTGATTATTGACTTCATCTTTGTAATATTTCAGTATTAGGATCACTGCTTAGATTAGAAGCATTTTTTACCAACTCTTCTACCCTATCACTATTGGAGGGATGGTTCTTCAGTACTACAGAAATATCTGCCTCAGAAGCTCCAGCAAGCTTAAACCTTTCAATAGCAGCATCCAGATTCTTCTTCCAGCCATCAAAACCTAGTTTGAATTCAACTTGTGAACGCTCAAAAAGCATGTTACCCCAGAACAGATGTATCTGGGATTTCATTACTGCTGCTTCATCAGATGAAACCTCCTCATGACCCCCATTTCCAGAGGGAACACCATCTGTACCTGTTCCCTGTTTCTTCTTTCTTTTTAACAGGTCTTCCTTTTTGCTTGCACCTGGCTCTTTAAGCTCCTTAGACCTTTGTTCCTCGAACTTCTCCCACATCTCAGTTGCAGCATTCATCTTCTCTTCTGCACTATCAAAGAGTTTAATCGTCTCTGTATGGTCCCAGCTTGAAAGATCAAGCTTACTTGCAACAGCAAATGACCACTTCAGCTTTGCAGTTTCAAAATGTTGTTGTCCTAGTGCAAGCAACCCCTCATAGAAGTCTGGCTTGATTCTTAGTGCCTCTTCATACTTCTCTCCAGCCAGAGAATATTTCCCCCATACCCAGTCATAAGCCGCTTGGAGCTGGGCTGTCATTAACTCCTTTGATGCAGAGTCATCCAAAGGAATCTTTTTTCTTGCTGCACACATATGAACATTTCCCCAATTGAAGAAAGCTAGGGCAGCCACCTCCTGAAACTTGGAAGCAGCCATGTCAAAGAGACTTTGTGCTTCTTCGCCTGTCACAGTCTCCTCAAGAGCCTCAGAACAGAGTTCCATCCCGAGCTCATGTAGGTCAATGTGGGCATCCGGGTCAATACCAACATGGGTCCGAAATAGCTGAGCAAATTCAAATAACCAATCATCTATCTCAACCTCCTTATACTCGGTATCATCTGCAACTCCAGATTTCTCCTTTGGAGCTTCTTCCTCGGTCTTTACAATCTCAGTATCCACCACATCTAACACAGAATCACCAGCTGAAGACAGAGAACAACCCTCATCTCCCTTGACCATCTCATCCTCTAAGGGCTTCTCTTCATTATCTTCCACCAGAGCTGGCTCTTGCTCAGCACTTACCTCGACAATATGCAACCTCAGCATCCCCAATGTATCAGTTTTCTCCGAATTAGTCTCCTTTTGAATAAGGCCGTCTACACAGGACTCTGCCAATCTGAGTTCATCAGTACAGGTGATGGTCACTAAATCACTATCATTGTCCTTATACTTGATGAGAATTGATTTGGATGAGGGAAACCTTTTGCCAACAATCTCCCTCAACACTGTAAAACTGCAATGCGCAGGCATTTGGGCCAACCTGATATCATGATCATAAACAAGTTTCAATGGCCTCCACCGAGTGGCAGCTGAGCCCGGAGACTGCCCAAGAACAGGCAGAGATAATGAAGATGAAGATAAGCGGTTCTTGTTGTTATCCTTAATAGGACAAGAAGTGGGTTCCTCGGAAGAACCCTTGGAAGGTTTTGAAACAGATTTTAGCTCAGGAACATCTTCACCGTGAAGTTGTTGGGTCTTCTCGCCCTTACTATTAGGTAACGCCACGGTACCGGCACCAGGAGCTGCCCCTGAAGCGGAGGTCTTCTTAGGTACCGGCCGGGCCGGCAAACAGGGGCCCAAGCCAACAATTGGGGCTCCGCGTACGGCAGAAGCTCCAAGGGCAGCGGGGGAGGGACGGCTCCGGAGATCCTGCTGGGCCTCCTGCCGAGGCCCAAGCGCAATACGCAACCGACGGGCAATCTCCAAAGCATCTCGATGATTAGGATCAGCAGCCAACAGTGATTGAACATCCTGCATCGCCACTTCATACTTACCGAGAGCCTCGAAAGCACGGGCACGACGGAGGAGGGCTCGGCCAAATCGGGGCTGGACCTGAAGTGCAAGAGAGCACTCAGCGATGACCATTTCGTAGTCAACGGGCTTCATCTGCATCAAGCAAGCGGCACGGTTGCTATGAAAGACGGCACGGTCTGGGTGAGACTTAGGAGTAAGGCGAAGAGCGTTATCATACTGTTGAAGAGCACCCGCATAATCCTTGGTCTGAAATCGCCTGTTCCCTTCTTCTTTGAGTTCGTGGGCTCGTTTCAAAAAGATAGAGGAATCGAAATCAACACCACCGTTTGCAGAAGATGCCGATACATCTCCTGTTACCGCGCCACCACCCTTTTTTCTCCTCCCTCCGGATTTGCCCATCTCTTTATTTCTCTCTAAGAAAACTTTAATAAACTAAATTTTCACTATCTCAGTAGTGAAACCAAAGATAATAATAGAAAAAAAAGGGAGAAGCTATTAGTTCTTTGATCAGTTGGGGTTGGGTCCCCCGAACTGGATTGAAGAAATGCGAGGTCGTATCGGATGTCAATGAAGCTTCGAGAACAGGATAGAAGATGGCATTAATATTAGATAGTCTCCTACTTTGGTAACCCTAAAAAGCAATCTAAAGATTGTAGAAGATACTCGACACCAGTCACCAGCCAAGATTTGGACGTTTGAGCAAAGCTTCTTCGCTTCTAGCCTAGCCTCCCCTTAACCTGTAATTGTAATAAAAACATACATTATCCATTGTCAAGTACCAGGCGACTCGATCGTTTTATGTTGAACGGAATTGCGATCTGCTACAAACTAGAAAGCTGTAACGGAGGCTGCGTTTCCAACACGTAAGCCAGGGAAGTATCAAGTAAGTGAGGCTGACGGAAACGGGAACACGAGGGATCAAATTGTGAGGGCACAACGTGTAATTTGTGAAAAGGCTATTTTTGTTTTTTATAATTCAATTATTCAAACATTAAATAAAATAATAAAAAATGATGACGTGACATTATTAAATTCTAAAAAAAATAAAGAATTGCAAGTGAGTCCCATTAAATAAAATAAAACTATTTAATAGATAATTAATAAATGTTAAAAATAATATATAAGTGGGTCTTACTTGAAATTTCCACTTTTAAGATAAAATAATAAGTAGATCCCACTTAAAATTAAAAGTGGGTTTCACTTAAAATTTTCTCCTTTAACATAAAATTAGTCGGTGGGTTTCACTTAAAATTTTCTCCTTTAACATAAAATTAGTAGGTAGGTTCCACTTAAAATTCCCATCTCTCTTTATTTATCTAGGGTTGTTAATGGGTCAGGGTCTAACCCGATGGACCTGGACCGATTGGACCGGTTCTGGTTTTATAATTCGTCCCGATGTGTCGGTTCTGGTTCCTAACAAATTGTCCCAATTATTATCAGTTTGGAACCTAGTCCACCATGTCCCAAACCGATTTGGACCCTGTCAAGCCTTATATAATATTATATATAATATATATTAAATGTATAATATACATAATAGTTAATAGATTATATATTATGTAATATTTAATAATTTAAACATATGTCCAAAATGGTCATTTCGATAGGGTTTCATTCAAAACCCTACCGAAACTAGCCTTTTTGTTGTCTTGTCCATTAGGGTTATGTTTGGTACCATTTACATTTATTCAATAAACGTTTATTGATGGTGCCACATAGGCGCCATCTCAGCATTTTCTCTCTCTTGCTCTTTTGCATGCATCAAAAATGTAAAAAGTGAACTTTGTTTTATGTGCATGCCAGCCGTTTGTAGAAGTTATTTTTTGAAGCTTCCACAAACGGCCAGACGTTTATTCACTGTTACGCTTAAGTGGCGCCTACTGGTGCCCAGTTGTCATAAACGGTTGCAATTATTGCATTTCTCGGTTTTACCAGCAAATAAAGTACAAACGTTTATTCAATAAACATAAACTGTACCAAATACATACTAGAAAGGCAAAAACGAAGTTGGAGTTTTCTTCTCCATTAGAAAGGCAAAAACAAAGATGGGGTCTTCTTTTCCATTCAAAAGCCAAAAGGAAAAGGGGTTGCAATTGAGACACCTAATCTTCTCTTTCACTGTTCATCCATCTCTCCTCTCTTTTCGTCAATATATTCTCTTGTTGTTCTCTTCTCTGTTGTCGTTAGTCTTCTCTCTCATCGGTCTCTAGGGCTGTTCAGGGGTTGGGTTGGGTCGGTTTACTGAGATTTTTCCAACCGACCCGACCTGGTCGGGTTACCTAAAATTGAAATCGAAACCAACCCTGTGTTAAGCAAAACCGACCTGGTCGGTTTGAGTCGGGTTGGGTCGGTTTAGGTTGGTTTCGGCTCTAAGTCCAACCATGCTTGAGAGTCAAATTGTATTAGAGATTGTGCTTGAGTTGAGGGGATAAGGGGGCGGACTAAGTTAGAATAGAAGTTATCAAGAAAATAGAAAGTCAAACTCTATTAGAGAAAGAAGACTCAAATTTGTATATTTCAAGAAACCTTATAATCTAAGTAAAAAAGGACACCTAATTATAATTGTAATTGGTTGCCTATTTGGTGTAAAAGACCATAGAAACTAGGATCCTTTGATTCTTTTCTTTAAACTTTTCCAAAAAAATTCCTTGTCTAGTTGTCTTACAACACTTGCCATTAATGTCATTCCTAACTAGAATACTAGAAATTAAGTTAGGTTGTAACTAGGATGGAGACAACTTAGTTAAGTAGGAACTAAGTAGGTTGTAACTACTAACTAGGAACTAACTACTAACTACTAAGTCGGTTTGGTTCGGGTCGGTTTCGATTTTCACACATGAAAACCGAAACCGACCCGAACCATTGGTTTATAATTTTTTACAACCTGAAACCGACCGGTATTGAAGAAAACCCGGCCAACTCGAGTTGGGTCGGTTTGGTCGGGTTGGGTCTTCTTATGAACAGCCCTATCAGTCTTTTAATAGTTGATCTTCAGTTCTTTACTATAGAACTCAACTATTGGGATTAAGCCATTAAGAGTTTTGTTTGAAATCAATCTCCACTCTCGAACTTTGTTGTTGGAATTAATCCAAGGGTTTTGTTTGAAATCAATCTCCACTGTTGAACTCAAATGTTGGGATTAAGCCATCAAGGCAGTTTGAAATTGATTTCCATTGTTGAACTCAGATGTTGTCTTTCTCACAGGTTCATACAAGAATTTGTTCATCGTGTGATACAAAGTGGAGAAGAAAATAATTGTTAAGTGGTCCTTGAAAACTTGCATATGAACAGATCTATCAGCAATAAATTGCTTACAACAACCCAATGTGTTGGTGTTCTGGGACACCCTTCAGACTTAAAAGGATTTTTTTCGACAAAAATGAGAGAAGAAAAGGGGGTAATAAGAAGTAGAGGAAGAAGAAGAAGAAGAAGAAGACGACTTTGCCACCGGTCACTAGTTGATTCCTAATGCTGAACGTCAATTGTTGTGATCTCACTGGTGGTTTTGTGATAGCATGTTGACTCGTTGAGAGGTGGTGGGGGATTATGAATGAGATAGGAAGTCCAAATATTTGGGTTTTGTCATTTTCTTGTCTTGTAATGGCCAGTTTAGTTGGACCACCGTTAATCTATCTATATTATATATAAAATGTGAAAGTATAATAGAATATTTTTTTGGATTAATTACCCTTTATTTCTTTGTTTGAGAAAGGGTATAAAAGTTGTTTTATACTTTTATTACAACTTTAATGGCTTCTAAAATGTCCATTTGTCTATTTAATTAGTCCATAAAAATGTAAATTTAATTATTACTTTCCACCTCATTTAATCCCATTTCATTAAGTCTTATACTTAAGGTATTGACTTCCATTTTCTTTTATTAAATCCTATATTTAAGTTATTTTTTACTAATAAATGCTACTAATTAGATAAATGTTAATATTTTTAATAATATAACATATATATTTTAGAACTAACTCAAAAACAAAATCATTCTTTATCCAAGTGGTAGCTAAGCAATTCAACCATCCAAATCAAATTAATCAACTTATGAAGTCATAGTAAGGTAATAAAATTTTTAAAATAGAAATAAAAATAAAAAATTGCAAAAATGTAGAAAAATTATACACATATATGATATTTTATTAATCAAATTTAAAAAAAATAAGTATAATACACAATAATTATTTTTATTGATAATGAAAATGAAATACATAATTTAGAATTGAATAAAAATGAAATTATTTTATTGCTTGGCGAAGATCAATAGTTCAACTTTTGGGTTAAATGTGTTAACACATAATGTCATAAATAAATAATAAAATATAAAAAATACATAAATTTTGCAAAAAAAAACATTGAGGTACATTTATAATATCATATAATTATCATATTAAATAAAAGGGTAAATCTCTTAAACTACCCCTATTGTTCACGAAATTGACAAACTGTACCTTTACTGTTTACATATAGTCTTCAAGTACCCTTAAGTTTTTTGACAATTGACACACTGGTAAACACTAACGGCAGAAAAATGAAATATCGAATTTTCTCTTCACCATTCATCAAATTTTCAAAATAAAATCCAACTGATAAACAAATAAACCCAAAATCATATCAGCGGCGGCAATGACAATCTGGTGATCATCTCACGAGGGTTGGCTTCATGAGTCTTCCTAATGAAGTGGTTCAAGTGGACGGTGGAGCCATTCAAATACCTAAACAATCTAAGCAACCATGAGTTCCAAGTAATGCAATTGGACAGGGTGGGGAGTACAACTTGGTGATTCATCACTCGAAGGAAGAGCTTCAACAATTAGAGAGAATAAACAAACACTGGCATCGATGCTGCGTAAGAAAGTAACGGCTAAATTAAGATAGATTGTCTCAGAGACTCCTAAACACTTATGCAAGGGTTGTTACGATAACACAATTGATGCTAGGGGGAGATGCAAAATATAGAGAAGCTTAAGAATTAGAAATAGATACAGAGGTGTAGTCCAAGTTACAAAGCGTATCAATAGCATTGCCAAAGCATCATCGCCTTTGCGACATTTACCGCTGCAATTTTCGGATGACAGTGCAACAGTGCAATAGTGAGAAGAACAATCCAACAGAGGAGAAGGCAAAGAAGACCTCTATTGCAACCTTCCCAAGATCGGTGGAGAGAGGTTAGAGATCTCTGAATTCCAGAACTTTTGAATCTCTCAAATCTAGAAGAAAACCAAGACCTAAGAGATACTCAAAACTAGGCATCAAAATTGCAACCTAGAACTGAAGAGGATGACAATGACCAAATGAGATTTCCACTACAACCCCTCCACCTCTCTCTCTCTCTCTTTCTCCTTCTTACTCTTCTTCTTCTTCCTCTCTTCCCCCTATCTGCGTCGCTCTCAGACCTTGGATATCTTAGATTTTTCATCGTATTCGATTTGAAGAGGAACGCTTCCTCCTGTCTTTCAGATTTGAGAGTCTTCCGGTATCAAGATTCGGCGATGTAGAAGGGTCATTGATCCTTTGCTCTTAGGTCTCAGGCTCCTCCAAATCTAATGTTGTTGGTACGCTTCCTTAGCAAGTCAAGTGTTGTTAAAAAGATGTCTTCTGTTGTTTTCCCAACAAGTGTCAAAAAAGACTTTATTCTACAACGGAAAAGGAAACCACGTCATCTTGTTGAGTGAAGAAACACAAAGAGTTGAGTGAAGAAAGGTTTCTCATTAAAAACAAATGACAAATCTTGTAAAGGCATTCTTGCCCTATACGACCTTTGTCTTGTA